GTTCCGCTGTTAGAAGTTCAGTATCTTAAGGCAACACCTTGCTTTGCTTTTCCACAAATTCTTCCTTCCTGATGCAATATGCCCAAAGATATCACCAGTCTTATGGAAGGGAAAGCTGTTCTCCCTGAGAAACCTCTGCAGCATAAAGATAGGGCAGGACTAGAACTTCTTACCTAAAYAGAGATGAGAAAGGAGTACATGCACCTCTCAGACACTTGATGAGCAGCTTTAATAGCAAGTCTCATTGCTTCCAGCTCTCCTCACTRGAGAGGAACCTCCTTCAACAGATAACTCACAGAACTCGCCTTAGGCCTCACCTTGTTCAGTAACTGAGACAGACACCCAGAATTAGTTAGCACAACTACCATTCCTAGCAGGCTACATTTACACACACTCTTCACTAATAAGCTCTGCCTCTAATTCCAAGAAAAAGTTACACAACTCCCTATCTCCCAGGCCTTCAACTGCCCGACTGCAGCTCAAGGCAGCCAATTTTAAAATCATAAATTGTTTAAACCTAAGATAAAGCTTTAGGTTCTTCTTTTAAAAGGGACCATCTCTTCCCAGCTTGATCTGCTTTTTCTTCCTTCTTGTTGCCAATGGCATTAGCAATGTTGTTTGCACATTCACTCCCCTTCCATAAGGTCTTTGCTGAGCACATGCCCTGCCCTCTTGATCAACATTTTCATACTAACCCTGAGTTAAAGGTTATTTCTGTGCCCCGCTGCATGGTCAAAGGGCACTGCTCACTCATTTCTTGCCACTGAAGAGGCGACAAAAATCAAAGCCGYTAAAAAGCTCCTCAACCACCTCCGCTTTATGGGATGCATCACTTCAGAGTGACTCAAACCAGAATTTGCAACAAACAGAAATGATCCTCAAAGAAGTATTCCAGGCAGCTAAAATAAAAGTGTTAATTCTCTGTTAAAATTATTGCAGTAGTCTACTTTTTACTGATACAAGTATACTTGAGTTAAAAAAATACGTCTCTAAAGTCAGAGTCTGAAATCTGTAAAGCCCAACACAACTGTGAGTTAGCAACACCTATACCACCATTGCAGTGGCTTCCCCAGTCTTTGTAGTAGGGGCATTTCAACATGCAGATTCTTCTTCCTAAATCCCATGCAAAACAATTTCCCTTTAAAAATGCCAGTGCTTGAAAATCCACCTTTGCAAACTGACCCCAGTACCACACACACTAGCTTTGTTGCCTACCTATGTCCAAATTATAAGTCTAATAACGAAATAGATCCAAAGCAAAGCAATTTAGCTAGCTACCTATTTGAGCTTAGCATTGCACATCTGCGACACTCAAGTAGCTCATTACAAACTATTTCCTATGTAGGTATTTACTAAATGGAATTAAATCAGCTCTTCAGTTGTTACATTAAACACACTGAGCTTGTACAAAATTTCGCTATGTATTTTTTCCAGTGTTCCTATTCCTCATTCCTATAGCTCTTTCCTGAACCTTCTCCAGCATTTTAGAGTATCAGTTGAACTAGATAGTTTTCCAGGACAGGTTACACTAATGCCAAATGGAGGTGAGATATACAAGTTTTAACTMCATGGTGATGCTCAATCAATGACTTTCTTTAGCCAAGCACCACACTATGAAGAGCTGCACACACACAGGCAATTCATGAACATACTGTTGTACTCATTTCTTCCTTGGACTAAGGTTCTGGAAACACATTGCTGGAACAAGAGTCATTTCCTCCCAGTTGTGTAGCTTCAGATTTCAGCTTGCACGGCTCCCTCTTGCCAGGCAAACCAGGCTGTTTTACAACAGTGACTGATTGACACTTTTGCTAATCTTTCATCATCTTCATGCAGCCTGGGTTTTACTTTAGACAACAGATGACGGTCTCAATCCGTCCTAATGGAGCAAGGCCAAAGCCTGCCTGCAAAGCCTCCGCAGTCTTTGCTTGCAACTGATACCCTGTCAGCCAACATCTCTAATCTACTCAACTTCTTATGTTTAGTTTGTATTACTTCAGGCCTAAGTTTAAATACTAKCAAGGCTCTACACTTGGGCTGGCCCTTGTGCTGTTTTGTCTGGACACCACAAGCCATTTCCCTGCGAGCACCCTGCTCCTAAAACAAGCAGGTCGCRCTCTATTACCTGCTTGCCCCATGTAGGCGGCCAAGGGCTCTCCTTACACCGCCCACCGAGGTCTCCAGCCCATTTCCACAGCCACAGACTGCTGGAAAACACCACAGGCAAGTCACAGAGGCAGAGGCCAAGTTGCTGACCTCACTACAGCTCCATTCCCAGCACTTCAAAGACCCAAAGCTTGACGGCTTTGAGAAAGACGCACGCAGGGAGCTGCACTGAGGGCAGATATTCAGGTGGAAAGCGCCTGTTCCAGCAACCAGAAGCCACCATGGCCAGTGCCTTGCTTGCCATTGGTGGTGAAAATCTGGGCTGCGGCCTAAGTCATGTCACATCTCCTTGGGATGAGCTACAGTCTCCCATAACCTTCCTGGGCAGGTAACATCCTTCACACAAAGAGAGATTGAAGCTGCTGCAGCCAAAGCCAGCTTGAGGACAGCATAATCACCAAATTTCTCCTCCTAAGCCATGGAAACCTACAAGGAAATGACTGACACCAAGATGTTTCTGACTTAAGTCCACCAATCACTTTCCTATGAGTGCTTATTAGCACTTCCTTACACCACTACCTCTCTGCAGCTCCAGGCTTTCAGTATTCAAGTCTCAGTAGATGTCTTGAACGCCGTCACAGAGGAAACTATCTCCGAGATGCCGAAAACTTAAAATTTTCCGTTTAGGGATAATAAGCATTAAACCACTCTCACCAATTACTGCAACAGCGCTCTTCAGTAAACACTGACTTTGAAGGATTTACATGTATTTAATTCTTCTTCTTTCTTCTTCCCCACCCTTTCTGCAAAGAATTATTTTGCAAGGCAAATGACAATCGTTTCAATCTCACAAAATGGCATGAAACCAAGACTGTCAGTAGATTTATACCACTTCCTCTATGGTTTTTGTTCAGTTTCCCATAGTGAAACATCTAAAGGCTTTCATAATTCTGAACAGATAATGCTGATACTGGGTGTACCACAAACACAGCAGTGGGTGTGCATTTGCCAATAACATTTAAGTGATATATATTTTTATATTTACTAAAGAGAGAAAATATGCAGAAATAACCTCTTTTTGGTGTGGTTTAGATTTTAGCTTGTTTGGCAATTTTTCCTCCCTACAACATGGTGATACAAAAAAAAATTTTAATCATCTTAGTTAAGTAGACATACTAGCCACAAAGATACATGCTTACCATTTTCTCAAGATGTCAACTTGGAACAATGTTAAACTTTAATCTCATTCTACGGTGTTTCATACAGTTTCCAAAACAAATATATGAACCATTGCTTTTGTGTGTCCCCACCCCCCACCACTTTTTTTATTTTTTTTTTTACTAATAATTTTTATTTAAATAAGACACAGGAATTTCTATACTGAAAAAATACAAAACAGAAGCCACACTTTCCTCGTGTAAAGCAATATTGTGTGATAACTTGAATACTGTTCAGCACAGTGGCTAGAAATAACAGTACAACTATGTACAAAACTTTAAACAATATTTGACAAATTTCTACAGCTGAATGTAGAATACAATTGAGATAAACAACTGTTGGGAAATTTACATGGCAAAGCGTTAGCTTTAACACATTTGGTTCAAAACCTTCAAACCTGCTAAGAACAAATGTGCAATATAATTAATATTTAGTTTCTCATGGAAAAATAATAAAAAAAAAAAGGAATAAGCCATGGCATGGCMAATATTGTACAGAATTCATCACTGATCTCCAAACCACTCATCGCATCCCTTCGTTACACTACCCCCAGTAACTGAGACTACAATTCCTTATCTGGACATATCCAGAGCATCAAAGGTCACCATGCTGCAATGTTCATCTAGAAAGTAAAATATTAAAAGGAATTGATACTTACATCTCAAGTACTTTCTCCCCTTTGTTTTCAGTCTATAAAATATATAGAGCTTTCTCCTAGGCCTGAGATAAGTGGGGTTCAAGACGGCTGTTGCATTTCAAGGGTTACTTGCATGAAAATGCTGAGACGGCTTCTCCCTTGTTACCCATTTTCTGCAAGGGGACTCAAAACCCAGTAACTTTTACAGGCTGCAAATTCCACCTTGTAAGACAGTATCAGCGAAACCTTCACGATAAAAMCCCCCCTGCCTCTTCACCTCCAAAGAAAACACGTATTTAGCGAGCAGTTACCAGTGGATTACTYTCACCCCCCACTTCCAAGCTCATCTTCAAACGAAAAAATAATAACGGAGCGAGTTTAAACGCTCCGTAGCTGCAGGCTGCTCATCTCCTCAAGCCCTGGAAAAGGTGAACCTTGTTCTCCCAGGAGCAGACGGCATGAACGTAGTTCCACAGAGTAGGAGGCAATGGAGCAAGAACATGAAGTTCATTTTGCCTCTGGGGTCCTCTTTGTATCACAGGAAATTATCTCCGAGAGCAGCGCTCTTCTTGTGCCAGTACAACGAAGAGCACCACGAGACAGTTCTTGCCATGCACTACTTTGAGAAAGTGTCCAGCCTGCAAAACCATGACTATTTTACTGGGATTTTTATTCACATTTAAGGAGGAGAGAGAAAGAAGAAAGAAGAAGGAAAAAAAAAAAAAAAAACCACACACACACACCACTTTTATACACACAACTTAAGTAACTGAAAGTTATGGGAGAAACTTTGATTAAGCAACATGAACTTAAAACTATTGTTTTCCCCACCCCTCTTTAAAACACCCACTTGCTACTTTTGGACTTTAATCCAAACACAATTACTCACTACATAAATAAAACGCTGCTCATCTAACACTGCTTAAACAAAATCTGAAAACCTATTTCCAACCAGCAAATAAATGAACATTTCCAAAAGAGAAACTAAACATTAATTTGACTTTTAGTCGGTAACAGTAGCATTTCACATCCTTAACTGCCAACAAAAACAGGAGAGGAAATCCCCATCACCCCCTGTGAAACCTGAAAGAATTTCTGTAGCTGAACAAAAACATTCTTGTCTTTCAAAATCCTTTCACACACAACATGGAATGTTTCTCATGTACAGCCTAGCACTGAACACTTTATTTGCAACAGTTTAACAGTCATTAACTGAGCAACACCTGAAACCTTTAAATGCCACATTTTACATATATTGAAATGACAGTAAATGCAACAGTTGTTTTACTTGTAAGCACATGACAAAGTGATTATACATCACAGATTTGCTGGTTCTCCTCATATTCACCCATGTCCAGGGTCATCATTCACCTGGATCTGAATGCACTTATTCCAAGAAAGTGGAATGTAATGAGGATATATTAATGCATAAAATAAGGAAAGGCAAAAGAGTGATGTTCCCTCTTTAGCTTTGTAGCTGTAAAATATTTTTTATCCCAATATGATATACATTCCAAGTTACCTGAGTTTACACTTCGAGAGAAGTACCTGAAGCTAGGCCATAGGGTGGGCACTGTGCAACTGTTGTGGCCATTTTTTTTTTATTTTTTTTTTTTTTTTTGCATTGTGTGTATTACAGAAGTTAGAAACATAAAACACCTGGATCAATTGTAAACATAATCCTGAAGTACAGTATTTTCCATAGGACACAACACAGCAAGACATTTTCTATTCAGACAGGCAACTTTTTTTATATATATATAGAGCTTATTTATACTGTAGAATTTGAAACAGAACACAGGACACAGTACTAATCTGGTCAAACATACTATGAAATGCATAGTCTCCACTTAAAACGCTTAATGATATATGGATTCTGCAGGCATCACTGCTTTTTCACAAAAGAAAATGCTGAATATGAATTCTGTCCCTGCCAAGAACAGTGTTGAGATATTTTTTAGACTGCTGATAAGTATTCTGCTTTGTTCTGAAGGGTTGCCACCTCATGCAGATGTATCTGAACTACGGGCTCCTCAATCCTCGTTTCAGGGCAGAGACCTGCTCCGCCTGGGTCTAGATTAACACATAGTTCTGAGGAGAGGAATGCTCTTCAGTCTGAATTTCTTGCAGAAGCGACTGCTGCTGTTGCGATGGTTGTACCGAGACCTCTGTAGAGTCCATTGTGCTGGTGTCATCTGACAGAGACGAGAAGGAGACCCGGGTCGCCAGCTGCTCCACAGTCAGCGTGCTCAAAGCTGTGCTTTGGCCAGAGTTTGGAGAGCTCTTCAACGTCAGGTCCGAAGAAGGAAGCAGGGGGCCCAGGAGCTTTACAGGACAGAAAGCTGATCCGGTTGGGATGAAATTAACCTTGTTTTTGTCAGGACATGAAAAGAGAGGGGCTGCGACAGGCTGACGAGACCTACAATGAGAAGGCAAAATTATACATCCGACCACCCAAAACCAGCTTGTGTGCAATGAGCTTGGAGGGTCTACAAGTTGCTAAAATGCGAATGACGAGGAATGGGATTAATTGGACAGAGGGGCAAACATCTTCCATATTGGCAGTCAGCTAACTGATCCACAGCATTAAAAATAGTACTTTCACAAAAATGACTTGGTAGTTACTGGATAAACATGCAACTTCCAGCAAAAAATAAAAATCTGCAGTACATATGCACATGGAAAAATGCCACGGTAATTTAGAATAACACAGATTTTTCTTTAATAAAAATATTGCAGAAACAGCACAGGCATAGTAAATCCCTTTGAGAAACTCCATGATATAGAGGGTTTTTTTGCCACATTCCATAATTTGACTGGAGGCTTCCTCCAAAACCCAACTTTGCTCCTTCACCATCCAGCATGCAATGAATGCTACTAGAGCAAGAGATGCCCCCTCTCCTTAATCCTTTCATCCTCGGGAGCTACGCATGCAACCTCAAATACTGCTGGCTCTAGGGAGAAAAGACACAGTATCCAAAAGTTTAATTTCCCATCTCTTGCTCAACAGCAGAGCTATTGAGCAAAGCCTTTGCCATGCTACCATTCACAATTGCTTTACATGGGTTTCATTCTGTTTTACGTGGTTTATATGCACCAAAAGAAAACCTGTGCTTGAACTGATCAAGTATGACAAGGAGAGGTTTTTGTTTTAAGTCGTGAACATTTACAGAGTTAATAAAAAGGTTTATAAACACTTAGGAAATTAAATGTACCTTATCTTTTCTGCTTGGATTTTTGTTGCCTTTTATAAATGCACAAAAAGAGTTCAATCATAAAAGACTCCATTTCCTCTTCAAACCAACGTGAACACTTCAACTTCTCTTCCGTACAAACTAAGAATAGTTTGCTCCTGAAAAAACTCATCAGCTGGAATAGTTTATTCATCTGCAGTTGAATAGGCTCAGTAAAAAGGTTTACTGCTTTGCAGATACCAGCTGATATAAAAGGCATTACTTACGACATTTCCTCAAAGACCTTCACTCGCTCACATCCCTCTGGGGGCTCTCGTTTGAACATGTAGCTGTTGTTTGGTTTGGGAGATGAGGCATACTTGGGCAACGGTGAGCTACTCCCACTGTCTGAAAATTTAAAGCAGTTATATTACTAGAGATTGAGAGTGCTGTTTAATTAATCTGATTTCCAAACAAGATGCCCTCTTCACAATTTAGCCACTACGCCGGCTTGCTTCTACCACAAAGCTTCCTTCATTGCAGGTASTTCCAACACCCTCGTATAGCACATTTCTTCAGAATAAAAGCTTCAGTGCAGCAATAAGCTATCGTATAACAACACATAACATGAGGATATTTTTGCAATTGGACTAAAGTAGAACTGTAATCCTGGAAACAAGTTCTTTAGTACGTATTTCAAAGAAAAATAAACAAATCAACAAGGTAAAATGCGTAATACATGCAGAAGAATTATGAGTGGTAATGGTAACATGCCTTCTCACTGTATAGACACAGTTATTGAAAATGTGCATATACAGCATGTTGGTTATTTTAAAACACAGTACTTCACAGTAATACTGACCTCATTAGGCTCATGAATATGTGAATAGCGCAGAAGGTGAAAACAGAAACAAAAGAAAGTATGTTTGTAACACAGCTGCAGCGTTGCAATGTCCTACCTTATTTGCTTCACAATTTAGCTGTTTTAGAAACCAAAATAAAGACAATTTCCATTACTGAATTCTCTCATAACTACTAACCATACTGTATGGTTAGCTATTAAAGGTGTTTTTGATCATCTCAAACATCTGGGTGTATTTTACAGGTGACTACTAGGCACACATGGAACTAAAGCCATGGAGATTTCTTTGTATTTTCTGGCAAACCAGTAAGAGAGAARATCAATTTCAGCAGTGTCAAAAGCACAATATTTTGAAAAGTTACAAAACTGACATGTTTTGCTTTAACCAAAAAAAAGGAAARAGAAAGAAATGCCCTTCCCCTCATCTTGGCAACATGATCCTTGGTGCTTTCAGAAAATACACAAAACAAAGCAAGCTGAGATGATGGTCACAGAAATTTAGCTTTTGTGGTGGCTTCCACCTTATCAAGAAGAACTGCCTACCTAAGGCCACTATTAATGACTGTCTATTCTCTCTGCTCAGCCTTACAAGTAAAATGAAACATCACACTTCAAGAGTAGGTCTTACAACCTTAAACTTACAAATTCATGTCATCTGGAGAGAAATAACTGCTGTTGCTCTCCTGCTTTTGAACCCTTATGCCAATTTACTGTATCTTACCATTTTTATCTCAAATATCCTCTATTTTGCTGCCGTTCATGTGCCTTTCCAGCCACAGCGGAAAACCAACCAAAACCTGTGATGTAGATTTGCTCAAGCACTGCAGTGTTCTTTAAAGACTCTGCAAACAGTAACTATATGAGCACTTGTATAATTATGACTCCAACACTRAGGCTGATCATTAGGGGGGTTGATACACCAGTATTTCCCCTTGCAGGGCACTACCGACTCAGATGTCACACTTCCCTTTGAAGATCTGCTACAAAAGACAGGAGAAAAATGGTTGACATGAAGTCAGCAGTGCACTGATCCTTCTTCTCTTTCTTGCTGTCACACCCCAGAACTTGGACATACACAATCTGAGGTGTTAAGTGCACAAGGACAGAAGCAGCTTACAGACACTATTGATATATATCAAGCTGAGAGCATGATGGTCCTTCTGGAATGTTTCCACTCTTGGCCCACGCAGCTCATTCCAAATACAAAAAATGGTTACCAGAGCCCAGACAGTTTGTTTCCTCCTTCTAATATTTAAAATTGAGGATCCAAGTTTCTATTTGAAACCTCTGAGACACAAAATATGCTACTGTTCGTTCTACCACATTAACGGAAAACTGTGCAAGTGCATCCAAGGAAAGAACCGGACTGAACTGAAAGTTAAGTCAGTCTTTGGATGATTTAGAGTCTCGCCTAGCCAAGTCACTGTTCAATCAAGTTCATGGTTTACTTAGATCTGTCTGAAAATTTCTATAGTAAGAAATCAATTTAAAAAATAAAGATAAAAAAGCATATAATTTAATTGGATCCATTTCTGTCTTTCACTCGCCCTGTTTTTTACGCTAAGTTGTTGGCTTTACATTTTAACTAAACACAGAGCACACTGACAAATGCAAAATACATATGGCTATTCAGAAACCCTCATATAAGGTATAAGCTTGGCATTATTCGGAGCAGGAGGGCTAGAATGGAAGGATACTGGGAAAATATGYCACCATTTCAACTGGCAAGCGGTGCTATTTGCAGTGGGAGCAGATCTCCAGCTGTGTGAGTGTCCTGCAAGCTCTTAAGTGCCAAACTGCAATATTAAGCATCCTTAAAGACACTGCAAACATTCCTTCTGAAACAGGGCTATTAGCCCAGTCGTCGCTCTCTCAGCGGCTGAAATGMAGCATCTTTGGTGTTAGGGGACCCCACTGTATCTTCCAGCAGCAGGTACGCCCTGTTGGCACCTTCCAACAAGCTCATCAAGTGTCACTGAGATGACAACGCTTGAAGGCCAACAGACGTAACCCCTAAAATGAATTTTGTTACCATAATCACATGGAAGACTATCATGGAATTTTACTGTACCGCACAGAATTTCAAAAAATAAATATTTAAAAATGATATACTCTGATGTTTAGAAAGTGTTTGAGACTGCAATTAAACACTAAACAAGTGTTTTAGCCTGCAGATTTCACACCACAAATTTTAAGTGGCACATATAACAACAAAAGAGAGACTAAAAGCATCACATAAAACRTTTTTGAGATAACTTAAAGGAAAAAAGAACCTTTGCCAATGAAATTTGAGATTTGTTTTGATAGATTTAAAAAGATTCTCCAGCTCAAAATGGTTTTGTCTCTGAAGACTCTCCAAAAAATTCATATACAATATTCATTTTAAAAACTAGGAATTAAATACCAGGAAGTTAAAAAGTACTTTCCATCCAAGAGATAACATCTCCATCAACAGTTTGCTTGTAACACCCTGCTAGCAATAGCAGACATGCACAATGCTAAACAAAAGTACCTAAATTAAAATCCCTGAAAAACAGGTTGTGCTGTTTTTGTATTAAAAAAGGAGGAAAAAAAGAACTTAAAAAAAGCTAAAAGCTTAAGAGAAGAAAAAATAAGAATTTGAATTGCTTATATGTGAGGCCCCCACTTAACTTTACCTCTGTCACAGTTATATGTATGCTAGGTAGGCAAAACTCAAAATTACAGTTTAATGGACCACGATGATGTAAAATCTACCTAGTGCAACTGGTAGCTCTAATGCAGCAAGGCAGACACTTACCTTCCAAGGGGCTGGTATTTGAGAACAAAACCATGATACCAAGTGCCATTAAAATATCTCATCTCCTGCCCTTCCCTCTCTGTTCCAGTACTCAGAATCACTGCTCTGTTCAGAGCAGTATTATGGTACTTTCTTGAAATTCAGCTTCCATTTACTTTTAAGAAATTCAATAGATTTAGCAGCTCCTTGCAGAAATGTAAACCAAGCAGCTGATACAGTCCAAAGAGCAGCTGTGAGGGCCTCAGGCCAAAGCACAGCTCTGCACAAGAAACAGAAGATGCTTTAGAAATGTAAAGCAGTGCAGTGTCTGTGCAGAGTGCTGGCTCCTCTCACCGCTCGTGTCTCAGGCAAAGCACCAACCTCCATTTTCTATTCAGGAACACACTCAGGAGCATTCATAAAGCTGATAATAAAGTTAATTGTGTTTTTAAGCAGTAAATTTAAGCAAGTTACTCCAGTGGAGAGAAAAATAAAGCACAAACTTGAAAAGTAGCATTTTCTTGCTTTTAAAGTGTCTGCATTTAGTTATCTGCAAAAACATTTATGAAAACTTAACAGGCCTCCTCTCAACAGTAATATTCTAGCAACACAGAACTCTCAAAAACACATGACAAAGTTTTATTCTATAAAGCAATTATCACTAATAAATGCTAACAAATTGTCTCCCTCAAAGTCTTCTACAGCCTTCTAATGTTTATATCCTTCATTTATCCATAATTCTGCTTCTCTGACAAAACAACTCACTTATTCGGATGTGATCTTATGTGATCATAATGATCTTAAGAGACTAAAGTGCCCTTCTGGCTGCAGATGTACGTTCGCCACCTCTAAGGCTCATTACTTCAGGTTTGAGGAAACTGCTACATGTTTCATCTTAAATTCACAGAGCTGGCAATTTATCACTACCATCAAGCAAATTCTTGATAGAGTGATAACACTTAAGCTAGTTTTCAGACCAAAATCCATAAATTAGCACCTATTCCTTGGGAAGTACAGCAATGAATTTTATTCCAAGTAGTGTTTTAAAAAGTTAAGATAGAAGACAGGATCCTTGAAAAAACAATTAAAAYGTTAAATGCAATATTGCAAACTCTATCTTCACTCACTCCTTCCAATAAAATTCCAAGTATTGTGACACGGCAATTTAGCACTAACAGCTAAAGGAATTCTTTAATTTCTTTGCTTCTTAACATATATTTGTTATCAGAAGAGACATGAATGAATTTACCAGTCCATTAAGAATCTACCCACATGCTAATGCTTAAGTGGACATCTACACAGTGATTCAGTCTTGCAACAGGACACAATTCACATGCATTCTGCTGGTAAGTAAAGTAGGAGGGAAAAAGCTAAAATATGTTATTTTTGCAGAACAGTTAACTATCATGTTGGGCTGTGTTCTACTTAAGTGGTTAACTTAATTTCTCTTTTCTCCTGAAGTTTTAGCATTTGGATAGGTGATTTTTTTTTTAATATTTACTTACAAATCTAAAATGAGAAGGCAATTCTTTTTAGAAACATGGTAAATTTATTTTTCCTTCCCTGTTCCCCATCTTATCCCCTTCATATTACACTGAATTAAAATTTAAGAATACAGCATTAAGTAAAGAATTTTCACAGAAAAAGGTTCATATCTTGATCATATCCTCAAAAAAAATCTACTTAGTCTGTGTTTATTAGCAGACCTATACAAAATCAAAGCCTCAGAAGTTGTCRTTTCTTCTGTGAAATTCACTGCTCTTAGCTTGCAATTTTTTCCCAAATTCTGCATCTCTTCCAACACACCCATTTCTGGTTGATGCAACGATTTCAGTCTAGCCAAGCAGAAGCCCAAGAACCAATTAACTAGCAAGATGAGTTGCCCCCAAATCAGTCTTTTTACTACTGCGTTTATATTTTTGTTCTGTAAGTCTTACCTGCCAATTAACTCCTTTAATTACGGAAACTTCAATTTACCTCCTGCAATACTAAACTACTTTTTCCGGACTTGGAAAAAAATGCAGGATATTGATATATAAACACATAAATTATTCAAAAAATTTGGTTTGTTATGAAACATAGCACAAATAGTTATTTCTCCATTTCACTGTTCAAACTTGTATCTGTATTTAAGCAACTAGCTTGAAGGGTAGTGTAAGAGATGATGAGCAGAGTACTTTCAAAACAGTCCAAATAATCATTTACTAACTCACCGTTTTGTTCAGCAGGTAACTCACTCATGGCAACACATACTCTACCACAAACCTTCTGGAACCCTCTTTTAAGCATGAACATGTTCCTGTCTGAATTCTTCACATTTGAATCTTCACAAATAGTTAAGACTGTCTGCTGTGCTCCTCTGACGTATTTATGGAAGATGTTTGTGAATTTTCACAAACAAGAGGGAAAAAGATATGTAAACAAACAAAACCAATTTTAAGATAAATCCTCGATCCCTCCACAACAATCAAACCAAAAGAGAAAACAAAAACTGATGTAATGAGTAAAATGAAGGTAGTTGTATAAGCAGGACATCACATGCCTCCCATAGGTAACGGTGGACCATTCTACTCTCACCTTTATCCCGGTCATAGAGTAAATCTTCTGTTGAGCAAGGACTCCCATCCTGAGATTCAGGAGGGCAAAAGGGAGACACACAAGGTGAGTGACTGCTGCAGCTGCTGCTGCGCTCCTGCACAGATGGGGTCTGCGTGTCGATGCTGCGCGTGCTGCTGCTCCGGTAGTGGGCAGGTAACGGGGCCCTGCGACCATCAGGGATATCCAGCGGCTGCAAGAGAAACGAGGGATTCACATCACACAGGGGTGCAGAAGAGATCGAACCTCCAAGCAACGTCAACCTGTAGCACTCTGAGGTGGTGAAACACGGACAGAAAATAGTTTTTATACAAAAAAAATAGTACGATTGTACCACTTACACAATACGGATTAATCCCGCTGATGTTTGGGACAATGTGCACATGGTCTAAGCAAACTGTAAATACAATGGTATCATCTTATGTCAAGTTAATAACAGAATGCACTTCCACATTTACGTGCATTTGCTGGCAGTATGTTGAAACAACGTTCACATTTAGATGGGATCTCTGTCATAATACTTGTTTTTACTTTATAATAAAATTTACCACTAAGTACAATTACAGATTATCAGAATAATTTTCAATAAAGGTCACTTATAATAAAGTAAAAACAAGTATTGTGACAGAGATCACATCTGGATAAAAGGAAAGGCATAAAATGTCAACTGCAATGCGTATTGTTGCATGTTCAACTGAATTAAAATTACAAATGAAGTTTTGCTAGCAAGGCCTAAAGCTCTAGAGCACCTCTGCATCTCATCCTTCACCTCTTTAGGTGACTTTAGCCAATGACGGAACTAAGTAGGAGCTGCACAGCCTCATACAGGGATCCCAAGCCCTAGCTTGAACCAAAGGCACTAAGTGCTGCCTGCTTTTAGGTCAGTCCAGCTGGCAGTGGCCAGGCCATTGTGCATCCTTCCATTCTGCCATAGCCTGGGCAGACAGACAGATTCACAGCAGTAGACTGGCACATTCTACTCACTTATTCTTTCCCGGGAAAGAAATAGTTTTATCCTAACGACAGTGCTGTTTTAAACATAAAAAAATAAAATCAAGGGAGAATTACAATTTTGCTTAAAAACAAAAGGGTAAAAGCACCTGTGAAGTTTAAATATCAATTTTATCCTTACTTCAGTAAGGATTGTATTAACATCCCACAGAACTGATCAAGTGTTATACTACAAAACTTCTTGTCTTTTTTTCTTCTTGCTGCAAGGGCACTTCTATTGCCTTGTTTTCCTCCTCTCTCTGCACTCCAAAATTATAACAGCCTGTCCAGAGCCTACAATTCAAACCAATAGCCACTTATGAGCAATAAGATCACAAAGTATATCAACCAAAAAAGTGGCTCTCTCCCATTTTCAGCATTTGTCCCTGCAGAAATCCAACAGATGTTATATGAAGAGGCAGCTACAGTACATCTGGAAGCTCCTCTCCTCCTTATGAGCCTGCCAGTTAATGCTATTTCACATTTCAAACAAAAACAAGGAGCAAGCTAAGCAAGGAAGACTGTGGTTGATGTATCCAATGCAGAACAGTTTGGACCCAGCTGTGTGGTCTCCTCCAGCAGGCCAGTTCCCACGACATAAGCGCCACAAGGAGACCACTCACTGGGTGCCCAACACCACCAACAGGCACCAGATCCACCTGACATGTTCCCGCATTTACTGCACACACAGAAGAGAGGTGGAAAAGGAGACTGAGGCTACAGGAAGAAACAGATGGTCTCACAACTAAGGTAACCCCAAAAACCTGCCACGTAGAACTGCATTTTAGCCCTGTCTCTGCCACAAAGGCTCTACAAGATGCCAAGAAGTTGTCGGCATTGATCTTTTCCTTCTATGGTGCCTTCTCTGGATGAGCAGCCTATGAGCACTGACTTGCAAAAGCCCACAGTGTTCACAGATGTAGAAGGAGACTATGGGGAGCTGCATTTAAAACCTCCTCAAGTGACATACAGTGTCCTGAGTTACAGGAACGATCTCAGAAACCTGACGGATTTCTGTTTCTCTGTGTATTAAGCGCAGATAAAAAATCACTGTTCTTCTCTACAGGTGTGGTAAAAGCAGAACAAGGTTTGTGAGGCACTCAGATAGAAACAAAAACCCGAGGAGAAATCCTGATTTCTCACTTCAAAGCAAGGTTTAACAGTGAGCAGTAAGGTGCACAGCTAACGAGGAGAAAACAAAAATACTGAACAGTTTCTCATTAAGTGCATACACTCTATTCTATGTAACAGGTAAAACAAGGACATCGGAGAGGAAGAAGAGCAGTGCATGATCCCATAAGGTCCCTCCACACCTGCAGGAACATTGCAGCATTATGTTCTCCACAAATATATCCCAAATCACATAGTTGGACCTCCACTATTAAAATCTGGGGTACAGAAAGTCATTTGTACCTTCAGACATGGCTCTAGGCATACTGGAACAGAAAGGAAATAGTGATAAATATTCAGCAAGTCAAGTAGCAGCTGATAGGTAGAAAATAACTGCAAATATTTATTAAGGTGCCTCTAGTTACATTTCTGTTCATATTGAATATAAGTCTTAACCACAAACYTAAAAACACTCATATAAACATCACGTAAAATTATACTGCACTTCTTAGTTTTTTAAAGATTCAGGTATAAACCTGATCAAAATGGGAAAAAAAAAAAATACTTCAGAAGTCACTTTCCTCAAGCCATATCTAAACTCAAAAACTGAAGTCCTTACAAGCTTAAAATATAAGAAGCAGAGTAATTACTTCAGCACAGCTGCTATTAATTTTCATAACACTCAATGCATGAAAAATGACTGGAAACTACTCCATCATGTATGCTTTTTTGGAGAATGATCAGCCAGCCTCTATAAAACAGTATGTTCTTGGACGTGGTTACGCTCCCCTCCATCTCCCTGTAAAGTCAAGGCAACGATCAACTGGGCAAGAAGATGTAACTCCCACTACAAGGCTGAARGCCACCAATTCTCTCTAGTATCAATCTCAGATTGATATCAATAGAGGTATCAATCAAGATAAAATATACAATGGGAGCCTCAAAAATATGATCTATTTTTCACAAATCCTGAATCTTTTTCACAGGCAACTTATTGAGAGCATTTGCTATTTTCTATTTTAAAATATTCCCTAGGCTTGCACACAAAGGCAGAGGTGGGAAAGTGCTTCTGCTTTCTGACATGAGTGAAGGCATCAAAGGTTAGACAAGGTGCTGGGACAAAGTCCYGCAATGCACCCTGAGGTAAGGGGTGCCCAGGAAAGAGCCCGCGGCACAAAGAACTTTCCACTGAAGAGTATGAAGATCACAGCATCACAGAACGGTTGAGGTTGGAAGGGACCTCTAGAGATCACCTAGTCTAACCCCCTGCTCCCGCAGGGACACCCAGAGCACAGGGTGGCATCCAGGCAGGTCTGGAAGATCTCCAGAGAAGGAGACTCCACAGCCTCCCTGGGCAGCCTGTGCCAGGGCTCTGTCACCCTCACAGGAAAGAAGTTCCTCCTCCCATACAGGATCTCCTGCTAGATAGAGATGTCTTGAATCTATGCAACCTACAGGAACAGTAATTTTACACAGGATTAAATTTTCTCATAGAGACACAAAAAGCATTATCTCCTTCCAGAAGTGCTGAAAGTAAAATGAGTAGTGGGTTTTTTGTTTATTTTTATTGTGTGGCTGGAAAAACTGCTTCATTACTAATTTTTCTTCTATCTTTGACGGAAGTACCAGCTAAGGTTTTTTTCCTAATAAGAAACATATAAATGTGTATGTGTCAATGACACGGACTTTCCTATGGTTTTACATAACTGGGAACCCCGTGGGTGACTAATGGGACTAAGAACAGAAGCCAAAGTTAGAACCTCACAAAAAGCTGATTCTCTCTTATAATTTATAGGGGAACAGACTACTGCAGTTTCCTTGAAAAGCAGCCAGCAAATTATAAAGCAGGAAGAAAAATATATCCGTTACCATTTAATAAATGCATTACAAATGGGAATAAAGTTTATTAATAAACTGGAAGAGGAAGAAGCTATTATAAAGTGACTCAAAAATGCCACCTTGAACTCTGTGTTCAGGAAAGAAAATGCAAAAACCTTCAGCTATTTTATATTAACTATGTTTCTGTCAGTACAATTTCTATTTGTGGAGGGGAAAAAAAAAAAAGTAGAAAGATTCCAAAGAATTAACAGTACTAAGTTAGAAGTGATATTCCAAAGAATTTCTCTTTTCAGAAATAGGAGTGTAAAATTCAAGTCAACAAAAAGAAAAATAGAAACCATGCAATAATATACCCTGAAAAACAACAGTTTAAAAGTCAAACCAAATTGATTTACATATCTGAAAATTTAGCAAGAAAGCATGAAACTATGAGGAAAGCTTTACAGGTTACCAATTGAAACTGGTAGCTAAAAATATATATATAAAGTAGTGCTCACAAACTAAAGCCACTCTAACCCAAACACTTATTTTCATCCAATGTGCAACTTGATCCAAATTAAAGATGATGAACTAAGAAACAGATGAACAACTCTTAAAATAGTCATGTTGCATTTGAAAGACATAATGATAGCAATGGAAAAATATCCAAGAGAAGTAAGATTAAAATTTTAAAATGTAATTATAATAAAATGCATTTTGTTTTACTCCGAACAGAAGTAACACATAGTTGAGACAAAAGAAATGTAGCCTGAAAGGTACTAAAATGTGCCCAAACTTGACTAAAATATTAGGGACTGAACTGAGTCTAAACCAGTGAGAAAGGTTATTACTTCTATTTTTAACAATCATGACAATACCATTCCTCAAATATTTCTAGAGCTTGCTGACAAATGAATGTAGATTCACAATAGGACCGAATGGGTTTCACACAGCTGGATAGATGGATTGATATGAAAACTAAGGTTTAAACGTGCACTGCTAAACTGGGAACCAAACTTTAAAACTAAGGTTAAGAGAAACCAGCTGAAAATTTTCCTGCAAGACATACAAGTCCTGTAAGAAAGCCCGTAAATTTCTCTACCCTTACATATCACCCAAAGCAACCAATTACTTTTGATTGCTCTTTTAAACCCCTTAGAAATCCAGAATGTTACAACTTGAAAGAATAATGGCAGAAAATTGAAAGAAAAACACATTATTCCACTAGCAGTGAAACTAATGAAGGTTGGGTTCCTATGGTTTATCTTTTGTGTGGTAACTCCTAACCTTTAACCCTTCAAATCTGCTTCCCCGGGCTAAAAAGAAGTTAAACTAATAGAAAAAAAAATAGTTAACTGGCAGTAGCTTAGTAACTGGCAGCAATTTAGTGAATTATTCTTATTATGATCTTCCATACATAAGTAAGCTATGAGCAAGCTCGAAGACAGCAGCAATAGTAGGCTCAGTTCAGGCTGCATTAAAACAGACTTCAGGAAAATGGACAGTCACATAGCGGGAAAGAAACCCCTTTGGGCCGGGATGGACTTGACTTCAAGGGCAGTGCCTAATTTATGACTTTCGTTGGTGCCTGAGGACTCTCCCCAGCTCCACGTCTGGAGGAAGGGCTCCCCGCTCTGGCTGCACAAGCTGCTGCTGGGCACCTGCCAGGCCGCACGAGGCCTGCGCCTTCCTGGGCCGGCAAGGCCCRAGTTGGGCACCCGAACAAACGCGCCCTAAAGACCACGGACACCCCTTAAAAATGGGATTTGCCTGGTCAGTAAATGAAACGTCCTCTAACTTTCCCCTAAAAGCTAGGGCAACGTCAGTGGTGGCACTGTAATTACACACCTTTTTATACTAACTTCAGAGAGGGCATAAGTTTACTGATTATCGKTTTTTTTYGTTTTGTTTTGCCTTTTTTTTACAAGTATTTCAAGTATCATCTAAACACTTCAATATTTTTTAACAAGGATCCAAATGCCCCACTTCTCCCACATAAACTATATTCCCTAAATTGTCCCTGTTTCCCATATAGTTATCTCTCATGGCACATCACAGTCTTCCATTTATAGAAGTAAAAATTAAAGCTGTGAAGTATTGTATAGCACAGGGAACTGAGCCTTATGTAAAAAAAGGATATAAAAATGAAGTAAATTAAGTCAGCTCCCAATCTGTGGTTACTTATTCCAGTAGCCTGAAGCATCTGAATTCCCAAACATTTGCATTCCTCAAGAAAAACATTTAAGTTTTCTACAGACAGGACATTCTAAACATGCTTGGCCAAAATCTCTTTCTTTTTAAAGAAGGAAAACCAAAACTTTCTAATTTTTTTTTCAAACAGCCTATTAAAGAAAATGATTTGTATTTTCGGCCCTTCGGAAGTATTTCACATGCACATAAGCTGCAGACAAAAAGCAACCATAAACACATTCATATTAACTTACCTTGGACACTTCTTCTTTTCCACTGTTCTCCTTAATGAATACTTTTTCCAATTCTGGGCTTATTCCCTCTACATTACACGGCACACGTGATACAGTTGATTTTGGCACTGAAATGTTTGACAGTGGCATAGGGACTGATCTGGAAATAGAAGCCTAGAAAGTAAAGAGTTATGTGGTTTAAGGCTGCAAAAATGGCATGAGGTGAAAGTCTGAGATCCATACTAAAAAACCTAAAAATGGTAAACTAAGAAACTTTTTACTAATTTTGCCAGGTCAGAAGATCATCTTTATGTGACAAGTCCAATTAAAAAATGTCTGCATAAATCAAGTCACTAAAACACCTCATTCTGTTAGACTCAGAAGAAGAGTTCCATACTAAAGCGCTCTGCTATCTTAATTAGCAACAGGTAGTCATTCTGCTACCTAAATTATCAAAATGTATATGCTTTCCAGGTGTACTGAAGGACGCAATGGTGGCGAGTGAGAGCAGATAGGGTACTGGTTCTGATGGTTTAGCTGGGATCCATAAGGCATTTCCCAACATTCCTAAAGCTTAACCACTCACTTTGAATGCTCATTCAAGGCCCTTTTATTCTCTTTTGTTTGGCTTCAGTAAAGGAAAAATTAAGTACTCACTCTCAAACTCTCATTTCATTAGCTTGTAACATTTCAGAACTTTCTGTCAGAAGTCCTAAAACCAACCACTTGGAGTTTAAGAAAAAAGCATGCAAATAAATGCAAGTGAGATTTTCAGACAAAAATGGTCATAGCAGAGCTCTGAACCATTCACAACAAATGCACATGCATCTTGTGCTGCCAATCTCAAAAGTCTTATCTTGGCAGGACCTATACAGCACAGATGCACCTATGTTAGTGCCATGGCGCTGGCTTCCTCAAAATATTTTCCTCGTGTTCAGAGCATCACTGACTACATAAGATGACGGAAAGCTGAAATACACCCATGGACATCTCTAGAGATCCACTTACAGAGTGGCAATAAAGAATGCTACTTCAAAGTATATGTCAAGGGGCTTGGTTCGTATGTGTTTCGAAGACTATTTTTACTATACGTAGCGGTAAAGTTACAGGCAACAGCTTTTCTTTGTTGTAGRTGGAAAGCTAAATCCTCTTCTATACAGAATGCAGTGTCTTTTGTTACAGAGGAGTAAGATTTCCAGAAAGAATATCAAACACATATGCTGGCTCAGGTAGAACTCCCCAGATGGCTTCATCACAAGGTCAGGTTTTAACCAAACAGAACAAAGACTGTGGAGGATCTGCTATCGGAAAAGCTCGAGCTTTTCTCTCCTTTCCAAAACATAACCGTTCTATAAAGACTGTCAGAAAATACAGGGATAGAGCAAACACATTTCAGTAGATCAAATTGTGGCCTATTAGTAACATAGGAAGCAAGTTGGAATTGCCAGTGGAATTGAAGCTGAATTACTAGTTCAGAAGCTCAGGCAAGATTCAGTTAATGACTTTGTGAACCTTAAGTCACATGTGTAAAGCAGTTGTCTTTCCTTGTTTGGCAATGCAGACATTTGAATCCTGATTCAATTTCATTTTTAATTCCACTGGCAACTTGTAATCGTTGTGGGGTGTCTTCCATCACACCTTGCTGAGAATTTGCTTGCTTTACTTAACAGGTAATTTATTCAAAGTTATTCTTCATACGTGTCAGCATCCTTCCAATGAGAAAGCTACAGCTACTTACAATTGGAAAGGTGCAATACTTGCAACAGACAAACTAACAAAACTAGTATGTGAGGACATGAAAATAGAAATCATCTTAGCCAAGGCAGTGCTTAAAAAAAAAAAAAAAAAAAAAGACATTCTTGATTAAGGGAGAGATGTCTCCTGATAAGTGCCTGACCAGATATTCTGAAGGCTTCAGAACTCTTCTGCTAAAAAGGTGTCATGTTACAACAGTGCCTATTGAGATAGAATATGAGCATGGTCATGAACATAATCCAGACATCCATTTTGGATCCTAAAAATCTCACTCTTTTGTCATTTCAAATAGCATTAAATTATTAAAGATATAAAAAAATAAACTGATGATATCAGCTACAGTTTTCTTGCTGAGTGTCTGCAGCAAAAAGAGCCTGGTGATGAGGGCATTTTCTCCATTCATGATGGAAACACTCGACAACTACAGCAAGAGTGTTACAGCTCACATGAGCCCCTGCTACTTCAGAGACCTATGTGAAGGCTCTCTGCCTAGGGGACAGGATCTTTTATTAACGATGATTCTGGACTACTGGAACAGTCAACATCATGATGAAAAGGATTCGTGTCCACAAGTGTCACAGATGCTGACGTGCCCTCCAGTTCTAGTGCCTGGGGAGAACTGAAAGAGATTGGAAAGACTCATCATTTGCTGGGGAGCTAATCCAGATTGCTTACTGGATTACTTTTTCTTGCAAGAGCTCAGGTGAAATTCAGTAGTGAAATAAGCAACTACTTTCCACAGCAGTATAAGCTTTTGTAAATGTTACCACAAAAAACAATCTTTGGAACAAGTACATATTCCAGAAAACAGTCTTATCTGGCCATGCTCAGAGCTTTTACAGCATCTTAATATACTTAGTTAGTATCCTTGCTGCAACCCTTCCTTCTTTCATTATATGGTGACCATCAGATAAAATTCAGTGTAGCTGTACTGGTATCAGGTTGTTAGGCATTTCAATATAACACACAAAAGCATACGAAAAAAAACTATAATAAAAAAAGAGGGAAGATGGGAAGAAAGAGCAGGTTATTCACTCAGCACTGATAAGAGAAGAGGCTGCTAATATCAACAGCTGTCTGCTTACCTGAGTCTGACTGATTGCTATATGGTTGCCATGCAGAGGTGACTGACGCTCCTTCTCTTTGCTGTGCCGGCTGCTTTGCTTGCTGCGCTGAAGCTGCTGCCTCAGTTTGGCAATCTGCTGGAAAGAAGTTCAGCTGAGCTGCTAACGAGCCATGAAACTGGTAACTGCTTCTATCTGTTCTTGGAAAGCAAATCTCAATATTTCAAGTCCTCTGTAGTGGATTTTACAAGTACTGTTTCCCCTTCAAAAGAGCCTTCACAAACAACTAGCAATTGGTCTATCTTGGAGATATTACTTCATACATTTAATAGGACTTCACGCAGGGTGAATTGCCACAGATTCTTTCAGGCAGACTAAATCACCCTTTTTACCCTCTGTTGAGAAAATATCTAATCAAAAGATGCATATTTTCAAGGTCAAATACAACTAAAGCCATTACCCCTTTTACCTGATACTTAAGAGAAGCCAAAGGACTCCATTCAGGACACCTCCACCTATTTATTCCTCCTCAATTTCTACATGTAAGTTGACTTCTTTAAGCCTTTCCTGGGAAGTCTGGACTGGGTGCACATTTCCACCACAGGTGCAGACACCTCCCTCTGACTGCAGACATCTTTATGCTTAGGCCTCTCTCCTTCACGCTCAGCACACTGGCATGCAATGCAGAGCATCYATGGCTCCATTTCACTGGTAACTCCCCTGTGTATGTAATTAAAGACTTGAAGGGCAATCAGGGAGAAGTGAATCACTTGGATTTCTTATTTCAAACAACTTTATCAAATGGAAAGTAATCTTTCTGAGTGATGGCCTAAAAACAAATTCACAGAGTGCCTCACACAGCTCCAAGGAGATAAATATATCAGTAATGGCCTCGCAAAGGAACTGTGTGAGAGAAAAATCATTCCACGTCACACTTCACAGCTCAGAGAAGACAGAGCTTGGTGAACACGTTTGGATGGAGAGCAGCTCCAGGCTATGGAGTTTCTTCTGTGATGTTTCTGATACTACTCACAGAAAAGTGAACCACCTTAGTGGCTTCCTACACCAAATCCTGCCACAGCTTGCTATCCATATTTGAATAGTTCCAACTCAGAAATGGTTGAATCCTCTGGATCTGTCAACAATGGATAAACAGTTTAGATCCCTCTAAGAGCCCAAGTGTACAATATATCAGAACAGAGCCCTCTTGGGAGTATCTAAGTATCTAGCTCAGAAGAGCCATATTTAGAGAGGTATGAGACTATCACTTGATCAAAAGGGCAACCTGAATACCCCAATGAAAAATTTAACGAATCTTGAACAGATACATTATAGCTCGAAAAAAATCCAGAAACTTCCCCTTTACGCTGCAGAAGTAACGGCAATTAAGAAATCCAGCTCCACAGAAAGATGAAGAAGCAAATAAGCCTAGTTTAAAAAGAGAATGCAAAAGCATACTAGATTTAAATACAAAAATACTGGCTGTTAGGCAAAACACCTTTATCTTCCCCTTAAAAAAACGCAAGAGAAACATAAGGTCCAGACCAGAAGATAGTGGTAACTGAAGTGGATGCTGCATGCATCTCAGCTGCTGATTAGAAAGCAGCAGCACTGGGCAAGGAAGGTGCTCTACGTTGATCTTGCATTCCTGCTGCACTTTCTGATCTGCTCTCGGGAGCACGCTACAGCAAAGCTCTGTGTCCATCCATCCCAAAGCTCTCTCAGTCCTGCTGCAAACAGCTTGCAGACCTTCAGAAGAACAGAGCTTCTCAATGTAAAATCTGAATGCTGAAAGCATTACAGGGTGTGGGAAAAAAAAAGAGCAGTATGAAATTCTTTTGCTCATTCTTGTCCACATGTAGACAAACTTTAAGAAAGTGACTGCTGCCAACAGGAAGAAGGGAGCTGCACTAGCTTTCTAGGGGGGTTATCTTTACCTTCTCCCTAAGCAGCACAGACATACATGAACCAAAATAAACTGATGACACCTAAAAGGTATGCTGATCCTGACAATACATATAATAAATAAGACAGGTTAGGGAATTTGCTGTTCAAACCAAGCAGTGCAAAGTGCTAGTACCATGAAGAACATGCACTTGAAGATTTAGTTATTATTGTGGTATACATACACTTTGACAGCGAACTCCATTCAGGGCAGAAGGCAATGTCAGAGAGCACTAGAAGCACGAAAACCACTCCCTGCCTGATCCTTCTGAGAGCTGAGATGACTGGTACTGTGTCTTCAGAGCTTCAGCGTGAACCAACTTGGAGGACCTAGGGGATTTGCAAGGCTGGTTCCCCAGTCAAGCAGAGGAAACTGCTAGAGTTTTCACTGWGGTTTTTGTCAAGTGACCTACTGCCAATATACATACTTCCTCCAAGATCAGTTTGTGATCAAGTGGAAGCAGACAGAATGCAGATGAGGTGACACTTCTTACATRAGTGACTCCCTTATAGTTCTGCACCAGAAGTTTTCACCTGTCCAAAGAAAAATATAAAAACATGTCCAGGACAAGGCTTATTTGTGGTGCCCTCGGGTACTGCTGATACTGTGGCCCCATGGATTTGTGATTGCCATGAGCAGATAGCTCTGCAGCTTCAACAACCAGTCACTTCTGGCCTACAGCTTAAATGAACATGTAAAAATGAACACAGCCTCTCCAAGACAGCGAGTGCCTTGCATGGGGGTTGGAAGATGGAACCTGGCCCTCATGCTGCACAACAGTACAGAGACTTGAGAGATGCAGATTAGGCAGAAAGGAAAATGTGCTACACATCTAAAATAAATAAATAAAATGCAGCAGTGAAACACTCTGGCTCAATGGAGCAGCTGGGAAGAAAGGGAAGGGTTCAGGGCAGCACCTCCCTCACACGGCCGAGCCCTGGCCATGACTTGAAGGCGACCCAAGCATGTTACAGTCCTAATAAAAACACACATGGAAATCATCACTTGAAGAAAGACCCAGTGTTTATTCTTCAAAGCATCCCGTTGCTAAAGACATTAAACCTTTAGCCTTGCACAAATGTGCACTTAGAGCCATAAAATGAGACAAGGGTTTTAGTATAGCAATTTAAACATTCTCCCTGTCTACCCAGTTTGAGAAAGGGCAGAAAATTCTCATTGTGCCATATAGGTTCTCATATAATGTATCATAAGATTTGAAGGATATACCTCAAATAAAAATTGAAAGAAAAATCAAATCAGGGCTTTTATTAATGGTGAATTGAAAATATTTGTGCAAAGCACCAACAAAAAAGTTACTACATGTAGAGCTCCTACAAATGACTTACATGGTGGTTATAAAATCTCTCCTAGCAAAAAGAAATAAAAAACAAAAATCCAATCTGCCTTTTTATGAGTCATATTTCCCATCACAGCCATCAAACTACTGACAGACGAGCAGCTCCTTTTCTGAACTTTTTCTTTTAAATACTCAAGTCTCCTACTGTTAAAGGAATTAAAGCATTTTGAGAGCTACTTCCACTATTCAGATACACTTATTTAAAATATCTTGCCAATTTCAGAGCTGTAAACATATAAGCTAGTAAACTGTAAATTACCTTTTTTGATTCAAAATGTGCAAGTGCTCTCATATGACTGGATCTTGGCAAATTTTAAACATATATATATATATGTGTGTGTGTATGTATTTGTGTACACCTTGCATCAGGGCAGAATCTAAGAATTAAGAAAAATTTCAGTCTTTTCTCCTGCTGTGACACAAAGATCAATGCATCTTAACAGTAATATACATCAGCTCTTCTCAGGAGACAAATCTGTAGCTGGGCCTTGATTACGTGATTGATTATAAAGACACTTAATGTCCACAGTGGACACTAAGTCAAAGTTTATTAAAAAACAAGCAAAACATTATGTTTTCTGTTACCTGAATATCTTTATAGCTGGAAACACACCTGAATACTATTTTCATATATACCAGTTCAAATATACATGCAATCTAATGTAACTAACAGCACACACCTGAGAAGTGAATGAATTGGGTTGGTTCTCAATAGCGTTGGAATAAATCAACTCACCTGGTCATACCTGCACGTTCGCAGATATGGGCGGCCAGGATGAAGTAGCACGTCTTATGTTTGGTTCCTGACCAAATGCTAATTAATCTAACACACTGCATTTCAGTGAATCCCACACACCTAACAAGGCAATTTCCTATCGATGAACAAACCGTGAACTCATAAACTGAGAGGCCTCTCTTTAAATTTATTCATGAACAATTTGCAACTAAACCAGTCAATGAAAGAGTCAAAGCAGCCTTGGATTCATTACTCAAAGTGCTGTTACCTGTGGTACTCATAACAAATGAGGTGGCTTAGTAGGTCTAATAATTTATTTCCATTGTTTAATCTCTTGCTTTCAGTTACCTAGAGCTATGTCAAATGTTCCCTAAACCGCCATGCTACATTCTGGTCTCCTATCCTCTCCCCATCAGAGATTTCAGTGGAAGTATTAGAGTTGTTTTAAAAATGAGTTTCAAGCAAGAGAAAGAAATATTTTAACTATGCTAAAAAGCATTCTCATAGCTGTCTCCTTAAGAAGGTCTGCTGCTCCAAGCTTTGGGAGAAAGGACTTCCATAGATAGGTCCTTTTTGCTGGAAATATTTCTGTTAGTTCCCTCGGAAAAAAATGTAACATTTGGTCAAATTTTGAAAAAAAAGAATATATTCAGTAGAGATGCTTGGGACTGGTAGTTACATTCGCTAGTAATCCTGTCTTTACTACACTTACAGTTTGAGCAGAATTGCCTCAGGTAATTTCTCTTTCCAGAAACTATGGAGTACAACAACACAAAGAAACTGAGCGCACACCAGGAAGCAGCAACAGGCTGCTGCTTCACTGGGACTGAACAGGCTCTTAATGCCCACCACGTGTGCATTAAATAGTCTRGTAGAGGAAGCAGACAGATGAATGCAGGAAAACGGTAAAAACAGATATTTAACCAGAGATGGAACAGCTGGACAGAGGCTGTAACAAGGACTTAGAAAGAGGGAACAGAAACAGAAAGGGATAAAATGGAAGCCACATGATGGGGAGATAGAACAGACAAGTGGCTGAAAAGTAACTGAGAGGAGTTCAGCTAGAGGAACTAGAATAATGCTCAAAAAATGACACTGGGACCATGAGGCTGCAGAACTATAAATTAATACAGGTTGGRTAAGAAAACTGCGATGAGAAACTGGAGATAAGGAATGGAAAACAGAAGAAAAGAACTACAAGCTGGAGGGAGGAGGGACAAAGACGAATTTTAGGGAGAACCACCCCTGCAACAAAGGGAATCCACACAATTCCTCTGCACGCACCCCAATTYTTACCACTACCAGTATCAGAAAGGAACCAAGAAACCCACTGGCCACAAGGTCTCTTATCTTTCTCCTGCGGACAGTTCACGAAAGGGACATCAGCCCAGTCCCAGGCGCTGCTGTGAGCTCAGAGGGCAGAGGCTGAGGGTGTCACTATCACTGACAGTGCCCGCCACGCTGCAGAAAAGCTGCCTGCTGCAGCGCTCGATAGGGAAGCGCCAGCTGAGGACAGACGGCCTGGGAGGGAAGGCAAGTCAGCACTATCCTAGACACACAGAACCCACTCCTGCCTCTGCGAGAGGCCCTGCGCACTGGTAAGAACTGTTTAAAACTCCTCAGGCTCAGAGCTCCTTTTGCACTTATTCCTGAGCACTTACAACTCTGACCTCTCTTTGTGGCTGCAGATGAAGCCAGGTAGGTGTTCTGAAGGGCCCCACACCGCTACATGAGTTAAAAAAGGTTTCATAAGGGATACTCAGTGAGCCAGGAATTTGCAACACTGACCTCTCCTTGCACCAGATCCCTGTTTTTAAAATAAAGCTATTGCCATCACTGCAATGCAAGATACTCCACATTTTGTCAAATTAGATTTTCAAATTTTCTATTAATTTAAGCTTAGATCACTCCTTTTGATATCTCCTCTTCCKGTCAAAAACTGTCAGGAAGAGTAATCTATCTATTGCCAGCAATGACATCTCCTCTGATGTAGGCTGTATTAATTAAGAAGTCAGTAGAGAGAGCACAAATAGCTCAAACTACAAGAGAAAAGCCCTACGTTAAGGCAGCATTTCTTAAAGAGAAAGGTGTAGTTCTGACACCTTCCTGGCAGGGACATGAGACTGAATGCAGGCCAAACCTTTAGCAGCGCATACAGTAGGAGTTCAATGAACTCTGGACAGAAAGTGGTCTACTGAGCCTTAAAAYTGAAACAGTATAAATGCATACTGGAGATTTGTATGGAGCTAGAGATCATTTTTCCTATAATTCATTTCTTATAATTCATGTCCATTTGACGGGTTCTTTCAAGTTGCTATTGTGGTTACAACAAAATACATATTAACAAATGCATTTCAAGTAATCATATCATGACTATATCAAAGATACTTATGCTCCTATGTCAGGTACCTTCTTCATCTTCAGACCTAAGCTTGACTGAAATTTCTACCCAAGAATTTGCTAACAAACCAGCTCATGCTTTGCCACTCTCAGGAGAGCAGYATTACAAAAGAGAAAAGATATGTARGGTAACAGTGAACAGAAACACCAASAAGCAGAAACACGCTGGTTCCTCAGCACATAGTAGGAAGAGAGGAAATTCAATAGGCATAAAATAACTGCCAGTCATGAAACAACTTTTATATTGAGCTAAAACCCCTATCAAAAGCAACAGAGGGAAGGGAAAGTGTGCAGCTTCCTGGACTCCAGATAGGGCTTAAAACACGCCTTGGACATACGAAGACTGGAAGGGCTTCACTGTGTTAAACTTCTCACCTCTTTCAGTTGATCAGCACTTCCCCACGATGCCGACCGCTGATGTGATCTCTTTTCTGCTCCCTCTTCTGCCCAGCAGCTAGGTGTCTAGAGAACAAAAGAGAATATATTGCACTGAACTCTCTGTGTAAGAAAATGCAGGACACAAATTACTGATTTTATCTTTCTGCAGTGTCACAGTACAGACATTACCTGTAAAGAATAAATTTCAGAATCTGATATGTGGCAGTCATCTCTCTCCCCATACATATACAAGCCTTAAATGACAGAATTATCTGTGATGTTCTGTAAGCTTGGATTTACAAAGTATGAGGACTGCAGGCATTACTGAAGAAATTAAATACCTGGCAGTCGCTAAAAAAAGTTCCTGATACTCCCATTTCTACTTCAATCCATTTCTATTTTTTATCCAGTACACTCTGGAAAACGGCAAGATAAAAAGATATATATATAATTAAAAAAAAATCACCTCAAACAGCCCAAAAGCTAAAATTCACCAGTTCTACCAGTGTTCCTTAATCACAGGCCATGCAATCAATTTCTTCTTGCTTACCCTGACCTATGTATTTGGCACTGATCTAAATACTCAGAGCAGTGAAGAGCAGGCCTTTCTCAGCTTTGTCTGGAAGTCCAGAAGTTATGGAACTGTCCTGGGATGTAGAAGCTACAGAGCTAAACTCCAAAGACAAAGAAGTGTCTAGAACCCCCCATCTCCCACCTCCTGAGTTAATTACCTACAAAGCTCCTATAAAGAAACATGGTTATCCACCAGTGTTTGTAAGGAAAAGTCTTCAACTATCAGGAGGCAATAGGGGCATCTAAGTGGGAGTAGGAACCACATAAAGCTCAGGGCTACAGGCACACTTACAAATCTATGAACTCACACTAATTTTTTCTACAGTTTCTAGTGTTATCTGAGTCCCTCACAGTTATTCTTGTGGCCAGAAGTAACGCAACTGAGAACTGATATAATTTTGCAAAGAAGTTTTTGGGGTACAGGCTCTGTGAGAGATGAGGAGTCTATTCACAGTGTCTCTCCAAGGCAGATGGGACAGCATCCCAGCAGGTCCGAGAGGATGCCGGACCCACACACCTTCTCCAGTCACAGATGTCCTATTTTGTCACACTTTTTCCACTTGCTCTGGAAACGGAGGTGGAGGCAGCAGCTCACCAGGGCTTTCAAAGGAGGGATACGACAGACCTGGCCTAATACCATTAAACACTGAACTTTAGTTGCAGACATAGGCTACACCTTGGAAACACACCATTACYGTAGTATTAGTCTGCAGCCTGGCAGTATTTTTAAGTACTAACACTTAGTGGGCCAAGTCCCTTGGCCTACTGTCCTGTTCAAGTGTCCCAAACCAGCGTTCCAAACTTCCCCTGCCATTTCTTTTCTTTCCCTCCGCCACTGGGAATACTTCCATCAAAGGCTCAGCAAATGGTGTAGGCCATCAGAAAACAAATGAAAACTCCCATGAAAATGGAAATATAAGTAATCCAAGTTTTTTTGATGCATGTTCCCAAGGTAGAAAGTATTTAGAAAAGTTACAATTCTGTGTATTTATTGCATGACACACTGTGTGGGTCAGGATGAGATGTCACAAGATGACGGGACATAAAAAAGAGTGAAAAGTTAATGCAGCTATTTAAAAAGTACCACAAAAATATGAGTCACTCAGCCAGACAATCCATAACTCTCACTCAAAGCAGAGCCTCCACGCAATGCACATTCTACCTACGTGCACTTTTACTTGCTCTTCGTTCTAATGGAACCACATTTTAAATAATTACTTGTTCTTGCAGACTGGCTACTTACCATCTCCCTGAAATTCCAAACAAAAGAGGTATTTTCTTGCTTCATAATGCTTTTAGAGCATCATCACTATGTAAATGCCCTGCAAAATTTCAGAGAACTAGGCAACAACAGAAAAAAACAAAAATGTCTCCCTTTTGAAAAATCATGGGCTTTCATGATTCACTGTAATTTACCTGATAATTTAAATTACTTTCTTGAAATACTTTATTATATCCCAAGTAGAGCTTTAACCATATCCTCATATTACAAAAATAGGAAAATATAAGCGCAAAGGACATTCTTTGAAAAATTATTTTCCTGAGASTGTTTTCTGAACACTCTATTGCTCCATGGTTTGACAAACAGCTCCAGGAGAAAGCAGCAACAGGCCTTTCATGGGTTTAAATACTCTCCTGCAGTCCAGAAAGAAGTACCAGGGATCTCTGCAGGCTAAGAGCCTTTYCTGATGCAGCTAAATAAACAGAGGTGACACTTAATATCTTTCGGCTAGTTTAAATAATGCTAGCTTTAGCCTAAATGAGTTTTGTGGTAAAAGGAAGTGAACTTAAAAAGTAAAGCAACTTCCYGCATGTATAAAGTGAGAGGTTGTTTACATTTTTTTAAATCCACATTCAGCCAGGACTAAAACAACAAACTAATGGCAACATTCTGAAGAACTTCATCAACAACCCTGGGGACTACTGGTGGCAAAAAGGTGGAAAAGCACATGCTGCAGCTGACTGAATTAGAAACCAAAGTACCAAATGCACAACACACCAGCTCACTTAGTATCAGATCCTGCACTTCCTCAAGCATGCTTCGACACTCTTCCACACAGACCCTATTCCTGGAAACAGCAACAACCTGTAGCTGCCTTCAGCCTCTGGTAAATTGAGTCCTGTCACAATCTTTCCATAACACACACACGAGTATTTTTATACAGGGGACACACTATTTGTGCCCCTCAAATTCATTTACAGTTTTCATGTTTTGATACTCCATGATGCTACTAGCACCTTTTATTAGCAACATTTTATTAGCAAAATATTTCTTATGGGGCCAACAAAAAAATTAAAAAATTGTAACATAAGCAGCTGCCACCCAYAGCAAATCCCATGAATTGCTGCTTCTAACGCACTGTAACTGACTTCACATGAAGATGTCTTGGCCGTACCTACAAATCTAGGTATTGAAACAAATGCTTAACAAAAACTTTTTAAAAGCTTTTACATTTGAACTGAAATTCTGCTTGCTGATGCACATCTCACTTCAGGATTGCATTGTGCCTCACAAATAAAAGTGGATTAACAGCACTATTAATATGCCACATTTCTTGAAAGTTGTTTTCCCATATATATATTTACAGGAAAACAAGTACTCCTACTTTCCTACTTCCATGCTTATTCATGGAAGTCTTAACTGACAGCTGCTGCGAATGTTCTTCTCATGCACTGGGCACATTAAAACTGGAATAAAAGTTAAAAATAAAAGGCTTAGAACRTTCTAGGCTGAGAACCTTGAATACATGAAGTATGTAACAAGGCCRTATTTGCAGTGCATGCTTCAGCTTYGCAAGGTGCAGGGCTGCTGTTGTGCTGCAGCCCCCGGTGACACCCTGCCCCACGAGCCCGTGCAGGGCCCAGGGTGCCCGAGACCACCACGTCTCCTCACCCCCACGTCAGCTCAATGTCATTGTTCTAACGCGGCCAACCTTGCAGAGGGTTGTGTAACTCTGCCTCGCTCTCCCGCCCACATGAGGGACGTGCACCTACATTCTTTCCACTTCGCTTAGATTAGAATGACTGCATGAAGGACCAACCTACCTAAACTTAAAATAAAACCGAATTTCTTTAAATATCTCCCATTTTATTAGCAGCTTTCACTCTACTTGCTATATCTAGCGTGCACTCCAGATGAACTACATATGGAGTATGGGTGCAAAGTTAAGCTTAGAAGTCTAGTTGCTCTAGGGGAGGTGGAAATGCTTCTGAAGAACTTCCATAGTCAGAAGAAAATATCCGTCCTGGAGGAGGACACTCTGATGAATATTTCTTCAGGTGTTTCCACAGTATTCAAAGCTCCTCTAAAGTTTGGCAGAAAAGTAATGGCCTAARGAGTTAGAATCAACTGGATCATAGGTGGTAACTCCTCTTAAACTAYAGAGAGGCCAAGACAAGCATGAATTTAGCATTTCATTAGCATGTCTTCTTCCTTGTCTCTCCTCAAGAACTTGATTAAAATGAATACATGAAAACAATGACAACTGTAACTTTCCTAATTATAGATTTTTTTTCTTTTTATCTTTTGCTAAAGATATGTTCCTAACGATGTAGTTATTGCCAAATAATTACATTAGTAAACATTAATGACCATTWTCCAAATGTTTCTGAAGAGGTTACGCATAATCATTTCGATATAGCGCATCACACTACAGGAAGGAAGGAATTCTTACACGAGTCCATGCAGCAGAAGTGTACAGAATTGTTCCACCCAYGCCGACAAGCAAGAGGGAAGCAATACGAAGGGCAGCTTTGAGATTTATATGGCCTTAATGAAAAGCTGACAGGTTACTGAAAGGGGGCGAAAAGAGGCCAGTGGGGGAGTTTGGGAAGGGCAGGATGTATCATATGAATACACTGAATAGTTCAAGGTAATTTTAAGTTTCTCTGAATTTCTTTAAATACTTAAAACAATGATAAAAAGCTGCACCTTTGATTGCTGCTGCTGCTTAAAAACCCACCAGCTGTATGCCAGCATACATACACATGCACACACACATACATGCATGAACAATTCTGTGCACCTTGAAACTTTTATATAAGTGACACAATCCATGGTGTTGTGGTAGATTTTCCCCCCAAAGCAAACAGTGAACAGACTCCTTCCTCTATGATGTTTTCATTTGAAACACTTCAGGTGGGTGAGGGACACACAACAATGTGAGCTACAGTAAATGGTCTCAAGTGCAAGATTTTTACAGTTCTGCTAATCAAATAATAAGATATTGTAGAAAACTTTTTTTAATATTATTTTTATTTTAAACTCACTTTATAAATAGTACTGTTAAAAAGAATAAACATTTTTGTTCACGAGCRCTATGTAGGTTCAGGGAACTTAAGCAGGAAACAAAGGAATATGGAATAAAATCCATTAAAGGTTTATCTAGCCACAAGGAAGACTAGGACCTGACCATTTTTGTTTAAAGTAACTTGGACTGGCMATAATCACCACCTTCATTAAACTGAAGAAACTCTGGATTTTTAATTTGTGTATTTAATTATTTTAAACTGTGTATTTAATTATTCTCCAATGAAACACAAATAAAAATCCATTTTCATTGCTTTTTACTTCGTTTTCTTGGTTTTGTTTATCATCCTCCACTCTATTAAACAACTATTATTATTCTTAGCTACTGAATACAAAGAGACTTCCATGAACTAAACCACTGCTCAGCCAAGGAGCATGAAATAGGGAAAGTACTGCTGCTTCCCAGGTAAACAGCATGGTGTCAAGCAAATTTAATTTGCCATTCAGGGGTCCCATCACGGACTCTTTTTAATATGGTCAATATTCAGAGAGAAATACACAGCAAGCAAAACATCACTCAGTCAATATTTTATGCTCAACCCCTCGAGTGAACATTTATTCATAGAACTCTGAAAGCTGCTGTGCGAGTCACTATGCTTGCTTCACTTTATAAACATATGCATATACTCCTGATGGTTAAGATGTACATTCTTCAGTACAACTTAGCAACTGCCCGTGTTTGAGAGATTTATGCATAAATGTAATTTTAATAAAAAGACAGCTAAAAAAATTCCTTGTTAGAAGATCCCTGCACAAACCCAAGCCAGGGGATTTCCTCACACTTCTTCGTTTGAAATAATCCTCCCTTTGGTCAGGACAACAGTACTGCCTTTCCTCTCTGTTCAGGCTGAAGAGGTAGAACTTCCCTCGCCTGCCACTCTCCCCTTTGGGGAGCTTTGTTTCCAAAAGAGGCAAAGGGTGCCAGCCAACAGGTCAAATAACCTAAACACTTTTTTGAGCTCACTAGGAAAGCAATTTTACTGCCAAATGCTTGCAGCTCAAATATTTGCAGAGCAAGTTTGTTTCTCTTTTCAGTAAGTAGTGAAAAGGTTTGTTTGTGCATGTTTAAATACTCTAAACATTCTTTTCATAAGGCTATTTGCAGAGCTTGATATGGGTACACATTTTATGACACAGGTTAAGAAATGCTGCAACTACAAAGGATGCTACAGAAAATCCCCTGAATGGAAATGATGATTTCAAAACAAAGACTTTCATCCTACTTGTATGCACAGGGCTGTCAAGTGAAGGCATCCTGGAAGTAAATCTAGGATTAACAGCTCTTAATGGGTATGTTTCTTAATAGAAAAAAATGACTGCTTGCTCTTTGCTAGAGCTGTCTGCACTGTTTCATAATGAATGAACAGGGTATCAGGGCAGCATTTCCTTAAAGGAATCCACCAGAATTTCCTGTGAAACCTAAAAGATTTTTTGAATCATTTTAGCTGACTCCCAAATTCGTAAAGCAGGATTCCCCAGYCCTAACAGAACTATTAAGCACATAGCAGTAATACCTCTCTACAGAGCACAAAGGCATAAGCATTTAGTTGCAGAATGGGTGACAAGTAAAAGTTGCAAGTGAGTGCAAACAAAMAATTAATCCAAAACTAAGTCAAGTTATGAGTTATGGCAAGAAATATCCTTGCTCTTGGATGGCACAAAGTTGTTAAGGAAGATGCAGGATGACCAAAGTATCATTTTGCTTTGGAGGGCAACCATGGTAACAACAGACCAGAATCACGGCATGACAGGCAGAAAAATGATGCAACAACAGTCCCTACATGATCCTGAAGTTAAAAACACGACCCATGGTAGATTCTCACTTCTATTTGTAAGTTATGGTTCAGAATGCTCATACTCAAATGTCTTATTTCTATTTCTTCTATCCTTGTTTCTGTATTCTCTCCAGTGACAACCCTCTCAATTCTTCGTAAGAATAACCTCTCGCCTTCTGCAGATGCACAAACATGCTCTTGAGACTCACTGATTTATAAAGATGATTTTACTTTAGTAGTCACTACTATCATGAAGCTTTTAATATTTTTAATATCATTAAGAACAGTTTTTCATATAGCAGCTTTGAAATAAACCAGATATGAGGCTGAGGTTTTAACCTGCCTATTTAGCTGCTCATTCACAGAATGTAACTTACAACAATGATCTTTTAAAAACAAAAGATTATTCATGATTGATTTAACAGCATGCTACCTACCTGAATTGATACTATCAGATTAAGAAAACATTTTGCACCTTTTACTTTTACTACTTTTCAGGTCTTTATGATGAAATTAAGAGAATTCACATTTCCTTGGAATTAAGTTGAGCTAGCATTTTGCACCAGCAGATAAAATACCATTATAAAGATGTCTCACACAACTCGCTCGCATTGCTTCACAGTCCTTACCTGTGTAGATTTATCTTTCATGCATGAAGGGTAGTGTACATGGGGATCACGTGGCCACTGCCCTGTGAGGTAAGGTCCTGTTATTGTGTCCAAAGAAGAAGTGCGCCGTATGGTACCCGAAGTTCTGATTTGCTGCGATTTTGGCCTGTCCACTGTAGAAAAGCAGACACACAATAAATAAAAATCAGTAACAACACCAAAAAAAGGTCAGGCTAGATTTGATGTAAAACTTTACAAGCCAGCTATGACACAATTGCAAGAACTTATCAGATATCGTTGTCTAAATGCTAAGCTGAAAAGTATGAATAATGAATAATCTCACAACAAACAGAAGTCAGACAACGGGAAAAAAACCAGAAGTAAAACTTAAGACTTAAAAACAACAATAATGCTTAATGTGCTGAAACCTGTAAATAACCAGGCAGCTTATTCAATATACTAAGTCACTAACAAACAAAATAAAAAACAAAACAAAAATCTAAATGCAGTGATGGTGCAACTGAGAAAAGGCAAGTATATCAAAATACAGAATATAACATAGTATTAACAGAAGATGAGTTTACGTTGGTTCTAAAGAGTCAGTTTGGTTAGCTTTATGAATAGCAAGCAATAAAATACAGCAAAAAAAGGATGGTTCTTGAGCAAAAGCACTGGAAACATCTTGCTCTTGTGGATTTCACTGCCTGTTGTTGACGAGATCACAGTACAGGCTTTAACAGGCCGAGTGTATTTGGGTATTTCTCCCTGGCACAGCTCAGGTCAGGACAGCTTTTATATTTGTCTTCACTCATCACAGTGTCTGCAATCTCTGCCTCCTCCCTTCACTTCTTTCCGCATATCCCTCGATCATTAAATATATATTCTACATTTCATTTGGAAGACAAAGTTGAGTGATTCATGAAATTGTTCTTTCCCACATAAAAGATCTACCACATGCTCTCTGAATCATTTTCCTGAGTTTCTTTGTCCTTTAGGCTAAATTACTTCATATGTTCATTTTCCACACTTTACGTAAGTCGGCTTCAGCCCTGCACTACAGCTACTGCCTGTTCCGTTCATCTTTACTAAAAGAAGTTTGTCACTGAGATTGCTTCCAAAATAGTCACATCCTAGGCATGATGCGTCCCACCAAAACCCTATGCACTGTTCCAAACTTGAGAACAGACCTGCCTGTACACTTTTGAGGACCAAAAAAAGGCCAAGGACGCCCAAATGCATTTTTCTTTAGATATATGCTATACATACATAGCAAAGATCTGTTCTTCGGTTTCTTTTTTTTTGTTGTTTTGTTTTAAATGTAAGTAGTTACGTATGTTTTAAAAAGACTTAAAGAAAGGACGAGCAGATTAGATAACCACAAACTGGCCAGTGAGCAAAGATGTGGAAATAAGTACTACCCCAAACTGGCCTTTGCAAAAGTTACATTTATAAGGCCTTATTGGGAAAACCAAGAAAACACAAGCCCAGGAGACACAAATGAAATATATACATCCAGAGAACAAAACAAGGTCTTCATCTTGCTCTATACCCAGAAGACAGACAAGAGCAGTACCAACATTAAAAACAAACATTTCCACTACCAAGAGAATGGAAACCAGTACCATGAAGAGCTATGACGTATATTTTTATATAACCATCTTAGAAGCTGCCTGCAGGACAAATTTCCAAACATGAAAGCTAGGGGAAGAAAAGGTCAAGATGCAGCCCCGTACTTCCCCCCTACTTCTCAGTATTTCTTTGAATCCCAGGCAATACAAGTTGAGGACACCACTTCTGAACTACACGAACGGATCGGACGTAGCACCATCCTTGTTCTCCTCAGATCTGCCTGGGCCACCCTGAGCTGGTTCTGAGCTCTCTGATCCCATGGTGAGGTCATTCACTGAGTGAAAGAAAAACAAAATCTACCCCAAAAAGCCACAATTATGCAGTTTCTACTACTAGGGGCAGGCCGGGCAGAGCAGACCTGTGCCTATTCAGAAACAAGCACATGGGTGGAGGAGGAACAACGGGGCTGCAACAGCAGTGATTTAACTCAGATCAGTTTAGGTCCTCTCACACTTCTATGGTATTTCCTTAGACCTTGAAAAATAAAGGAATAGGAATCTGTGAACAGGACATTTTACGAGATTTCTGTGAGGCAGCATTTGACAAATTGCCTCATATATCAACGATTCTAAGTGCAGAGTAAAACAGGTCACTGCTGGCTCTCATCAGCTGCACCTGCTATGAAACCACGAAGCAGCTTCAGACCCTTTCCAAAAATTAATATTTTTCCCCAAATCAATTTCTTTATGTTGCTTTTCTTACTTGCCTTACTATAAGCCTGGGGTTTTGCTACTCTCAGACCTACTACAGAACTTTCACTTCCCTCCAAACTTCTATTACCAGTGGGATTTTCATGCTACTGCTATGAAGTTTCCCCCAGTTCCGATCATTTTCTCGTGATGGGCACCTCATGCTCCCGTTTTCCTGCATAATTCAGTAGTACCTTCAGTAAGTCTTAAAGCTATCCCAACAGACTTCAGCATTCAGAAAGACTTCAGCAATATTCAGAAATTGCTAAAAATACAGCTTTCTTTTACCCAAGTTTCAGATTATACCGCACCTGACAGCATTCAGAGTGTGTGAATGGATTTCACTGCAGGGGAAAGAAGTCAGAACAATTCTGTTTTCTTCTTTTTTTTCAGTGATGGGTGACATATTCACAAGGAGCTCAACTGTACGTCCAGAACAAGTAAGCGGAGCAACACAGCATTTAAGAAGCATAATGTTATAGGGGGGGAAAATAGCTGTAAACTACAAAAGCAAGACTTATACTAGCAGGAAGGCAAAAGACCACACTCGCTATTTAAAATATGTCACAAGTTCTCTTAATGATATGTATTTGAGGGTTGTTGATAAGACATTTCTACTTACAAAATGATTTTACAGGAAAGGACACAGAGGCCCACCTGAACACTGCAGCTGGTGAAATTCAGAGGGATCCTACCTGCCAGAACCACGCCAAGCTGGAACTTGCAGGAACCAGTTCAAGTGCATGAAATGATGGGTCTGCACGATGCACTGGCAGCCTAAAGAAACCAAGTTGTACCATGCAGCCTGCCTGGAAAAGGTTTCGATTCCTCTTCCAGGAAGATGTGATTTGGTGACAGCCTGACACAACAGTTCAGAAAAGGGGCATGGGGCACCAATAAAACCATCCACTTCTGCTTCAAGGTAAAGAGCTCAYGTTCACCCTAGCATGGAGGCAGACAAGGTGGTCACAGTCTCAATGCCTGTTTGCAGTCCTTGTTAGCTGAAATGTCCCTTTTSGCCATCAAAGTAGTGAGCAGAGTCATGAACAGAGTCACCTGCAGCACAGGTGAGGCACGACTGACACCACGCACTGGGACCAGCACAAAACTGCTTCAGCCCAACCCACCAGAGCTCATCTGTCAACATCTTTTCTCYCCCTGTCTCTTTCCAACAGTTAGCAGAGGCGATTCAAATTCGGCCAAATGTGGTCCTTGGACGGATATATCGAGCTTCAAACGATTAAAATTATTGTAAGAACTTCTCAAGATGACAGATTCCTCTAAGGCTAAGTGAAAAATGTGAAATAAAAATAAAATCCTTCTTCCTTAAAACTAGCAGTATTCTATTGTCACATCCTTACTGCTGCCAGCTAACTGCTACACTCCTGCCAGAAGGCTACAAAATCTTCCTGCAGCAGTATCTTCATTTTCTTTTGAAAGTTCACCTGTAACTTAAATGACTTCACACAAGACAGCCAAATCAGGACACCAAGAAACACCAGTATAATATTTCAAAATATAGATGTACTGGTTTCATGAGTCTTCATGAGTCTTCCGTTCTATTACTGCTACTTCACAGAGCCTCTCAGGTCTCCTTTTCAGAACTGCTGCTGAAATGAATTCAAAGCTTCAGTCTTCTTCAGTCCTAAAGATTTTCAGATTTTACCTAGGAAGTCAAAACTATTTTTGAAAGAATTCTGTCCAAATCTACTCACAATCAGAGGACAAGACAACTGTTGAGATGACTCGCTTTGAYGGATACTCTAGTTTGCTTGGCCTCCTTTCAAAAACCCCAAATTCAGAGTTCAGTTATTGAGGCTGGAAGGAGACTAGAAATCACGGGTAATATGATGAAGTATCTATCAATTATTTCTGCTAATTTCCTACTAGAGGCCACAATAAATTGACAGCAGTCTACGATATCAACGACTCAGAAGTGGCTCTATGTTCATTCTTTCAAAAATAATCAAGTGGAAATACAGCCYGGGCACAGAAACAGTAACGTAGCAATAACACACCGAGTATTACGGACTGGTGGCCCCAGCAGTTCCCAAGAGCGACGGTCCAACCCTCAGACCCTGGTTACCACAGCAGCAGCTGTGATGACAGCCAGACATATTTCTGGTCAAACCTGCCCTCTTCTTTTATAGCCTCTGCAAGCATGAAATGGATACACCTATCAGAGCTTACTTAGGAAACAAGTCATTGAGTTGCACTAAAGTAGACCTGGAGACAGGAGAGGAAGGACAGTCTCTGTAAGAAGCATCTGAAGATTTTTATTTTTCAGAGTATTTACTGACACTCTGCTGATTCCTGAACAATTGTTTGTTTGGTCTCTTAGGTTGGCCTTTCCTTGTCTAACCATGCAGACAGACCGGTAAATCCCTGCCTGGCTCTTCTAAAAGTCTGTCTCTATGACTTTGGGATGGAAGCGATTAAAAAAAAAGGAGTTAGAGGCTGCTCAAAAAGCATTTCAGCCTTCATACTCAGAAAGACTGTGGTAACTCTGTTGAAGCCAGTGCCAAACTCACTCAAGAAAAGGATTAATAGGGGGATTTAGGGTCCCTTGAAGTTTTACTCCACAGGATAGATCTATTGGCTCAAAGGACACTTCCCACTTGCCAGCAACTGCCAGGCTTTATTCTGACCCAAGCTGCAAACTGGCCAAGCTGCTGCATTAACAGGCCTGGGCAGTGCAGCACAACAAAGAACACGCTGTTTGCCACATAGTGTTCATACAAAATAACCCCAAATACAAGTTTAAACAACAACTTTTATATATAATACATATAAAATGAAAATATGAAGTGATTTTTAGGCTATCACAATGTAATTTAAAACTAAAAT